AAAAAAAAAAAAAAGGTTAGCCAGGGTGTGGTGGTGTGTGCCCGTAGTTCTAGCTACTGGAAGGCTGAGGTGCGAGGATCACTTGAGCCCAGGAGTTTGAGACTGTAGTGAGGTATGATCCTAGCACTACACTCCAGCCTGGGCAACAGAGCAAGACCCCATCTCACACAGAAAAAAATGAACGAACAAAATAAAGTGCCAGGGGATGGAGAATTCGATTTTCAAATAAACTTCTTCATCACAAATTCAGAATTGAACTCACACATCACACATGCATGCCAGTAACATGCAATTATAGACCTGGTTCATAGTTAAGAAAATCCACTCATAGTGGTCATCTCTGTCCCTAGGGAAGCAGAGCAACCCCACAGTAGTTTGAGTGAAGTGACCTGGGATTACAGGCACCCACCACCATGCCCAGCTAACTTTTTGTATTTTTAGTAGAGACAGGGTTTCACCATGTTGTCCGGGCTGGTCTCAAACCCCTGGCCTTAAGCGATCTGCCCACCTCAGCCTCCCAAAGTGCTGTGATTACAGGCATGAGCCACTCTGCTCAGCCTCTGAAGTACAAATATCTTAAGTGTACAGCTTGGTGAGTTTTTCACAAGCTGAACACATGTGTACAACCAGCATTATTTAGAAACATCACATTACCAGGACTAGAGAGCCCCACTTGGTACCTCCAGTCACTTCCTTCCCCGAGGGTTACCACTTTTCTGACTTCTAGTAACACAGTTTTACCTGTCTTTGTACTTTATATAAATAAGCCAGGGTTTTTTTGTTGTGGTGGTGGTTTTGGGTTTTGTTGTTTTTTTGTTTTTCTGTGGGGTTTCCTAACTCCCACACTCTCTTCAGCCAGAAAACATGAGCCAGTTTAGGTTTTGGGTACTCTACAGAAGCAAACCATTTATTCCCGCTTTCCACTCTCTTCCCAGACCGATCATGAGTAGCGGTAGGTTTGTGGGTTTCCTGCTGTCTTACCACCACCAGTAATGGGCGTCATTCTTTTAATCAGCAGGCTCCTGGGTGTCTTGCAAAGGGTGACTGCACCTCTGCTATTACAGTGGTTACTGTCCCATGTGGCTTGAGTGATCTCTGCTTAAAACAGATCCTCTCCAAAGTCTCTTCCAGCCCTGAGATTCTGATACTGAAGAGGGTGGATTGGGAAAGCATGATTTGATTTTGGTTTTCAGCATGAAGCTCCCTCCCCATGTCTCCATTGCAGCAGAGAGACTACTGATGCAGTCCCCTGACTCCCACACTCCAGGTGTGCCGCCCTCCCGTCCATCCCCACACAGCCAGCTAGAAAATCCTATCCAAAACGGAAACCTGGCTACTTCTTACTCTCCTGCTTCCAGCTTTTTTCTGATGTTCCATTGCCTGGAAGAGAAAGTGCCAACACTTTAGGAGCAATATAGACCCTTGGGGACCTTTTTCCCTATTTTTAATCTTATTTGTCATTTTTTTCTACTTTCTGGAAACTCTCCTTAAGTATAACTTCCAGTATATACTTTTACTAAGTTTTTTCTTTTTTCCAAGAGACATGGTCTCACTCGGTCACCCAGGCTGGAGTGCAGTGGCCATCATAGCACACTGCAGCCTTGAACTCCTGGTGATTGCTGCAGTCACCAGGTAGTAATCAAGCGATCTTCCTGCCTTAGCCTCCCAGGTAGCTGGGACTACAGGTGTGCACCACCATGCCCAGTTTATTTGAAAAAAATTTTTAGAGACAGGGTCTCACTATGTTGTCTAGACTGGTCTTGACCTCTTGACCTCAAGAGATCCTCCTGCCTCAGCCTCCCAAGTAGCTAAGATAACAAGTACAAGCTACCACACCTGGTTCCCTACCTGCCTCCTTAGTTCTCTTCCTGTACCCCTGCCTCTTTCGTGTCCAGCTGTACCTAACTGCCTACTTGTCGTTCTCTGGCAGCCACACTATCCTGCCTGTACCCTTGCTTATGCTGCTTCTCCTTGGAATGCTTCCCACATCTCACTCCCCTTTACTTGGCCAATTGCTAATCCTGTGAGAGTCTACTCAGGCATCACTTCCAGGAAGCCTTTACTATGTGTATTTGCACCACCCTCAGCCAGGGTGGGACATTCTTCCTCTGTGCCCCCATAGCATCCTCTGTTTACTCACTGTAGCACCCACCACACTGTGGTAATCATTTGTCTCTCCCACAACCTGGGAGTATTTCAAGAGACAAAGCACAAAGCTCATTGATCTCATTGTTGTAAACACTTGGCACAAGACCCGGCATATACTGTATTTTCATTCAACTTTTATCACACTACACTGAACTGCACTGAGTCGCAGTTGGAAATATCAAGGAAGGAACAAACTAATGAATTCTAAGACAAGAGAATTGAGTTTGGCTGTGAGAATGTCTGGGCTTTGGAACCCGCTTTGTGTGGATAACAGAATTTTCTCAGTGGCTTTGTTCCAAGGCCTCCACTTATCCCTGTTGTGTTTGCCTCTTCCTCTAGGCAATGGCGAGCTGAGCAATAAGGAATTTGTCTCCATCATGAAGCAACGGCTGATGAGAGGCCTGGAAAAGCCCAAAGACATGGGTTTTACTCGCCTCATGCAGGCCATGTGGAAATGTGCACAGGAAACTGCCTGGGACTTCGCTTTACCCAAACAGTAACCCCACACCACAAGAGCGGACCACCTCTCCACCCCCAGTACCCCGGGGCCCCTCCGCAGACCTCGCCAGAGCCATTTGTGCTGCAGCTTCTGGCAGTAGTCTCCCTTCCTCCTGGGGATGACCTCAGGATTCTGTCGGTTTCCCCTCTTTACCCTTCCCTGTCCCCGTGTTCTGCTGGGCTTTGATTCTGCCCAGTGATTATCCCCATAGATTCTCAAAAACATGAACAAGTCTGAAAAGCTCAGACATTTGGCAGCCTCAGCAGCACTACCCATTGAGGCACCCTGTGGATAAAGAACGCAGGGAACCATCCACACATCTGCCAACCCTGGGAAGCATCCAGTTCTCAAATCGTTGCTGCTGCGGATTTATTTTAACAAGAACATTCCTTGCCTTCCCTCCTGCTGGTATTTTAAAGCTACAAGTAGGGAAGGTATCTGGCAGGCAGAAAGAAGTCCATGATGATAAATGATGATGAGGATGACCTGGGCACCCTACACTAGCGTGGGAAGCCTGCACCCCAGGAAGCATCTGTGTTAGTCCCTGGGATGGCGCTGAGGCCTGCTCTAGGAAGGCAGCCTGCTCAGTGGGAACACAGCAAGATTCAGAATTTAAATAGTTGCTTCATGGCTCTCCCCACTCCCTTTTTTTCCTCAGAGCCTCCCTAAGATGACTCCAGCGTGACCCTGTGCTTAGTGAGCAGCAGTGATTGAGTTCATGTTCCCTGCAAGTGCCATTTATTTCCCCTCCAGGATGGGCCTCTGAAGCTGAGGCCTGGCTCAGAGCCTGTTTGCCCTCTGTTTTAAACACTTGTAAAATATCACTTTAATTATAACCGTTTGCAATAAACATCCCCAAAGTTCCCTGTATCCTTTATTTTAGGGTCCTCTAGGTCCTTTTCATTTTACATGGATTTGAGATCTTGCTGGAAGCAGACCTGTTTTCTTTCTACCAGGGTCTGGTTCTTTCTGAGGAAAAGCTACTTTAGGCCCAGACAGATAGTGAGGGCTTTTGGAGGTTAGCGGTGGCACTGTCCCCACACAGGTTGGTTAGCATTTCATTCTGGGCCAAGGTACACAGTCCTTGCTTGTTCATGCCCCACAATGCGGTCGAGTATGTGAGGAATCGTCCGGTATGGTGGACCCAAGTTTTGTGGAGCTTTTGTTTTTGCTTTTGTTTTGAGACAGAGTCTCACTCTGAAACCCAGGCTGGAGTGCAGCGGTGCAATCCCAGCTCACCACAACCTCCGCCTCCCAGGCTCAAGCCATCCTCCCAACTTGGCCTCCTGAGTAGCTGGGACCACAAGTGCACACCATAACACCTGGCTAATTTTTGTATTTTTTGTAGAGACAGAGTTTCGCCACATTGCCCTAAGCATTTCCCACTATGGACCTAAGTTTTAAGAACCATAAAAGCCAATGTTGTGTGGTGGACCCAGTTCTGCCACTAACTCACTCAGTGCGGTCTTGAGCAAGTCCTTTCCCATGTGTTTTGTCATGTATAAAATGACAGCTAGGGACGGGCTAAATGAGCCCTGAGGTTTCTTTCAGGTCCAAAGCTTCTGCTTGAGCTCTTCTCCAGAATGCCTGCAGCCCCCAGAACCTCCAGGTGATGCCTCCTGGCATGTCTCCGTGGCATGGCCAACATCCTAGGACCACCACACCAAAAACTCAGCACTTCCTGTGAGGCGGCTGGCTGGGAATGTGTTAGTAGGGAGTGCTCGTCAGCCAGAGAGGAGCAGAGGCCTGGATGTGCACCTGTGGCTCCGCTAGGAAGGTACTACCTCAGCATTTACAGAGCAGTTTAACAACCTCTTTTTTTTTTTTTTTTTTTTTTTTTTTTTTTTTTTCATTTTTTTTTTTTTTTTTTTTTTTTTTTTTGAGACAGAGTGTTGCTCACTGTTACCCAGGCTGTAATACAGTGGCACAATCTCGACTCACTCACTGCCACCTCCGCCTCCCGAGTTCAAGGGATTCTCCTGCCTCAGCCTCCCAAAGTGCTGGGATTACAGGTGTGAGCCACCATACCCAGCCACAGCCTCACTTTTAACATCCTTTCTGGGATACTAGATTATCTCTCTCAAAGAAGTTGGCCACTCTCCTACCTCATCTGTCTGCCACCTTTCCCCTCTTGGGGTATCCCTGGTATCAAAGTGAATATTTTGCTCTTTGCTCCAGGCCTGGGGCATAAGCAAAATGTGAGCTTTTCTTAAGTTTGTCCCAGAATCCTAAAATCACTTTCCTTTGATCCTCCAGCCTGAAAGAGTAGTCTCATTCACAGCCTTGGTGGGACATTCATTTCCCTACAGGAGATCTGCTAATTGACCTGGGTTTGCTAAAGCTGAAAGCCAGAGCATGGCAGGAGAGGGTCAGGATCTCAGGTGCAACACCTTGAAACCCAGGGTCAAGGGTACCTATCACAGGTACATGGAATTCCAAATGAACTCCACCAGCTCATTCCTCTGCCTGAGGAAGCAGAAGGTGGTCCAGGTGCTCAAGAAGTCACGACAGCCACACTTTGGCGCAGCAGGTTAAATGTGCAGGTGAGAGGTACAACCTAAGTCACCCAGAAGAGGCAAGGATCCCCCTAAGGAAGAAGTCCTTGGGCAAGGTGACTTGTGAACAGGCTGAGAGGATTTTAGTAGGCAGAGTTTTTGATGAGCTAGGAAGTGTATGGGAACACACAGGGTGGATTTCTGCTTCACTTTTATTCAAATTGTTTCTTCTAACCTAGATAGAATAAGCCTCCCCTCCTCCAAGACTCAGCTCATCCAGCACGGTGGCTCACATCTGTAATCCCAGTACTTTAGGAGGCTGAGGTGGAAGGACTGCTTGAGCCCAGGAGTTCGAGGCAACACAGTGAAACCCCATCTCTACAAAAAAATTACAAAAATTATCTGGGTGTAGTGGCACACACCTGTAGTCCCAGCTAATCCAGAGGCTGAGGTGGGAGGATCACTTGAGCCTGGAGGCAGAGGTTGCAGTGAGCTGAAATCATGCCACTGTACTCCAGTCTGGGCAACAGAGTGAGACCCTGTCTCAAAAACAGAGAATGTGCGTGCACGATCTTTAGGTGCCCCACCTAGTTTTAGCTCTGGTTAGGGCATATGCTCTATAACCCTGTTGGACTCTAAGGCAAAGGAGAGGTCCAGGCAATTATTGCACCCAGGCAAGGAAGCAAGGACAACATCATGGGAGCCGGGAGCCAGTTCCCATGGCTAGGGCATCTGACTGCAAGCCTTAGCACAACCCAAGCAGGGTTATGTGCCCTTGCAAGAAACAGAAACAGGAAGGAGATAGTCTGGTTTAGCTTTCAGGCCTCAAGTGCCACCTGCTGGCAAGATGGTTCATTGCAGGGCCTCACTGGCCTGGAGCCATGGAAGGGGCGGCTACGAGAGTCCAGCCTAGACCCAACCCTACTCCAGAGAATAAGCCGTCCCAGCGACCTGAGTTGCATGGAGTGGGGTGGAATGAACGTCCAGAGACGGATTGTAACCATAAAGAGTGACATCAGGGATCTGAATGTAATTGAGCAGAGGAAAAGAGATATTATGCTCATGTATTGTTAGTTCTCTGTGTCCTAAGGATGGGAATTCTTCCTAGGAATTAAGAGGGTATATTTCACTCTCTTCATTCTACAGCTCTACTTATCGCCTACCACAGACGCAAGCACTAAGCAAGGTTTTCAAGGAGTTTGCATTCTAGTGAGGCAAACAGAAAAGAAGCCATAAAGTTAAGTACAGGCTGCTACAAGAGCACTTAGAAGAGCAGGAGCCAGACGCAGTGGCTCACACCTGTGACCCCAGCACTTTGGGAGGCCGAAGTGGGCAGATCACCTGAGGTCAGGAGTTCAAGACCAGCCTGAGCAACATAGTGAGACCCTGTCTCTTAAAAAAAAAAAAAAAGCCAGGCATAGTGACATGCACCTATAGTCCCAGCTACTCCAGAGGCTAAGGCAGGAAGATTGCTTGAGCCAAGAAGGTTGTGGCTGCAGTGAGCCAACATTACACCACTGCACACCAGCCTGGGTGACAGCAAGACCCTGTCTCAAAGGCCATCTAATCCAGACTTGGAGTTCAAGGCAGGCTTGCAGAGGAAGTGGTTTGGTTTTATTTATTTAAAACACTGAGACATAGGAGTTACAAATCAGGCAGGGGGAATGTCCAGGCAGAGGCCAGTGTATAAACATCCAGAGGCCAGGAAAGCATGTTTCATTCTGGGAACTAGGGAGTATTCAGTATAGATTGAGAAGTGATTTTGTGACCCAATAATTAAGATGGTGGTCATCCACAGACATAGATTAAAAATCTAGTTGGGCATATACATATATAAATAACAAAAAATGGTGGAAATTTTAAAAATGCTTAGAACTGGCTGAGCACGGTGGCTCACACCTGTAATTCCAGCACTTTGGGAGGCCGAGATGGGCCGAGGCTGGTCAAGAGTTCGAGACCAGCTTGGCCAACATGGTGAAACTCTGTCTCTACTAAAAATACAAAAATTTTTAGTAGCTGGGTGCGGTGGCACGTGCCACCAGGTACTTGGGCATCTGAGGCACAAGAATCGTGAACTCAGGAGGTAGAATTTGCAGTGAGCCAAGATTGCACCACTGCACTCAAGCCAAGGTGACAAAGTGAGACTCTGTCTCAAAACAAAACAAAAAAACGCTAAGAACTAAATATGATAATGAAAACACAACTTTTTAAAACTTGTAGGACACAACTAAGGGAAACTTAAAGGCTTTTAAACAAACTTCCATACTTATTTACAGAAAATAGGCTGATAATAAGCTAAGCATCTACCTTGAGAAGTTGGAAAAAGAATGGAATAGATCACCTGAGGTCAGGAGTTCAAGAGCAGCCTGACCAAAATAGTGAAACACTGTCTCTACTAAAAATACAGAAATTAGCCGGTCGTGGTGACATGCACCTATAGTCCTGCTACTTGGGAGGCTGAGGCAGGAGAATCACTTGAACTCGGGAGGTGGAGGTTGCAGTGAGCTGAGATCAGGCCACGACATGCCAGCCTGAGTGACAGATACTGCATCAGTTTAAAAAGTAATAATACTATGAACTTTATATACCAAGAAATGTGAAATGGATTGTTTCCTAGAAAATATAATTTAAAAAAAAAAAAAAAAGGAAACAAAATCTGAACAGACTATAATAAATTGAATCAGTAGTTAGAAATCTACTTACAACAAAAAGTACCAAACCCAGATGGCTTTATATGAGGGAGAAAAAAAAATAATCAGATTCTGTAGGGCCCTGTAATCCCCAATAAGGAGTTTGGGCTTTTATCTTAATGATAATTAGAAGCCACTGAAGGGCTTTACACAGAAAAATGACATAATGAACTTTGATTTTTAAAATGATGGCTTTGCCTGCATCCAGGTTGGGGTGTGATCCAGGCTGGAGATTTATAACCAGTTTTAAAATGTTGAAAGTGGCCGGGCGCAGGGGCTCATGTCTGTAATCCCAGCACTTTGGGAGGCCAAGGCAGGCAGATCACCTGAGGTCAGAAGTTCGAAACCAGTTTGCCAACATGGCAAAACCCCATCTACTAAAAATACAAAAATTAGCTCGGTGTGGTAGCGGGCACCTATAATCCCAACTACTCAGGAGACTGAGTGAAGAAACACTTGAACTCAGAAGGCAGAGGTTGCAGCGAGCCAAGATCGTGCCACTGCACTTCAGCCTAGGCAACAGAGCGAGACTCTGACAAAAAATAAAATAAAATAGGCCTTGCAGTGCAGTGGTTTATGCCTGTAATCCCAGTGCCTTGGGAGGCTGAGGTAGGCGGATCAACTGAGGTTAGGAGTTTGAGACCAGCCTGGCCAACATGGTGAAACCTC